AGGTCCTGTTTGGCATTTTCCAAAACAGGCTTGTTTCATCACAATTAAACACTTGTTGTGGTTTTAATTTTTCAGCATCTATGTACCCCTTAAAGTCCTGCACATATTTTTCAGCCATTTTTTTTGTCAGAATTGACAGCCTCACCATGCCTTATCACACTGTATACCACTACAGTTCTGTAATATCTCAAACCAGCCTTTGCTGGCCATAACTTCATCAACAAGAGCACTATTTGGAGGCATTTTCTTAACAAGATCCGCATGCAACTGCCTTGCCTTTTCACATATTACTGACTGAGAAACACAATCTCCTGGAGTTTACCTGGAGAGAGTTCCGGGGGTCAACGCCCCCGCGGCCCGGTCTGTGACCAGTCCTGCTGGGATCAGAGCCTGATCAACCAGGCTGTTGCTGCTGGCTGCACGCAAACCAACGTATGAGCCACAGCCCGGCTGGTCAGGAACCGACTTTAGGTGCTTGTCCAGTACCAGCTTGAAGACTGCCAGGGGTCTGTTGGTAATCCCCCTTATGTATGCTGGGAGGCAGTTGAACAGTCTCGGGCCCCTGACACTTATTGTATGGTCTCTTAACGTGCTAGTGACACCCCTGCTTTTCATAGGGATGTTGCATCGTCTGCCAATTTTTTTGCTTTCGTAGTGAGTGATTTTCGTGTGCAAGTTCGGTACTAGTTCCCTCTAGGGGTTTTCCAGGTTTTATATAATCATGTATCTCTCCCGCCTGCTTCCAGGAATACAGTTTTTGGAACCTCAAGCGCTCCCAGTAATTGAGGGGTTTTATCTCCGTTATGCGTGCCGTGAAGGTTCTCTGTACATTTTCTAGGTCAGCAATTTCACCTGCCTTGAAAGAGCTGTTTGTGGCACAATATTCCAGCCTAGATAGAAAAAGTGACCTGAAGAGTGTCATCATGGGCTTGGCCTCCCTATTTTTTTAAGGTTCTCATTATCCATCCTGTCATTTTTCTAGCAGATGCGATGAAAACAATGTTATGGTCCTTGAAGGGGAGATCCTCCGACATGAATCACTCCCAGGTCTTTGACGTTGGTGTTTCGCTCTATTTTGTGGCCAGAATTTGTTTTGTACTTTTGATGAAGATTTAATTCCTCAGTTTACCATATCTGAGTAATTGAAATTTCTCACATTGAACTTCATATTGTTTTTGCACCCACTGAAAGTTTTGGGTTGATTCCCCCGGAGCCTTGCGTGTCTGAAAATGGAAAGCACTGTCATGCAGATTCGGGTGCATCGCAAAGGAAGACAGGGTGCTGTGGTGACACCCTTTGTCTATGTCAAAATTTGAGGATGGGGAACAAGATGGGACAGTATGTGCCTTGGGAAACAGAGCTTTTCCCCGAAACTGCTCGGCTTTACTCTGTTGACGATACTCTCTCTTTTCTTTTAGTGAGGAAATTTTGATCCATCGACCGACTTTTCCTGTTTTTCCTTTAGCACGCATTTTGTGCGCTATTACGCCTGGTCACACTTGTCGAAGGCTTTTGCAAAGTTGATATATTACACTGATTCTTTTTGTCTTCTAGTGCTTTAGGACCTGTATAGTGATCCCAATATTTTGAGACAAAGACGACCTTTTTCAAACCCCCATGTTCCCGGGTTGTGTAACGATGGGGTTTCTGATGGGGTGATCTTGCTTCTTAGGACCTTTCAAAGTTTTTTATGAATGGGATTTTTGTGCTATCGATCTGAGTTTTTTTTGCTTTTTCTTTAACCCCCCTTTGTGGAGTGGGGCTATTCTGTTTTTTATGGTAACGTGGGACACCCCCCGTGTCCATGCTCCCCTTCCCCAAAGGGAGGAAAAAAACGTGATAGGGGCTTCTTGCAGTTTTTTGAAACCAGAGTTTCCAAAGATCTCCCTGGGGCAGAGTGCATGGGGATTCATTTTTTTCGCCGTTCGAAGTCATTTTTGGCGTCAGGGAAAAATCGGGGGGCTTGTTTTTAACAAATTTTGTTGGCTCTCTCATAAAAAAATTTAAATTTTTATCTTCGACCTAGTCTGGTACGGCCCCTTTCTAAAAAAATAGTCATATTGGGACTTAGTACTCACCCCATTTCCTTGCGTCATCTGTGTAGGGCCCCTCTTGTTTTAGTAGGGGCCCCAAAACTGGACTTGTTCTCGACTTTTATTTGGATAGGAGAAAAAATACTTTTTGGGTTTTTTTCGATTTCATTTTTGGCTTTTAGTTCTTTTCCCGCGATTCCTGACCCCCAAAGATTCCTTTAGCTTTTAAATTCGATGCTTGCTATTTCTCTGACCATGTCTCCCCACGCATTTCGATAATTTTTACCTCTTTTAGGCCGCTCTGTTATTTTTTTTCCGTCGCCTGTAAAGGGAGCGCCTGTCTCTTTCATTTTACACCCCTCCTTTTTTTAAGGAAAAAGCCTGTGCATACATCGAGTGCCACCAAATTAATCTTTAGGATGTTGGGATCTGTGTTGCTTAGTAATCTTCCCCGCTTTTATCGGTTTGGACTTGGTTTACTTGGTCCCACTTTATGTTTTTGTTATTTGAAAACATTAACTTCTTCCATACTCCTCCCCAATTTAATATCCCAAATTTTTTTTATCTAAATCATTTGATACCCTCATCACCTTACTCTTTTCTATGTTCACTTTCAACTTTATACCTTTACACACACTCCCAAACTCATCCACTATTTATTATGTGTGTGTTTAATTGCATTTACATTTATGTATATTCAGTACAGGTCCGCCATCACAAATCCGGCAATCAGTTATTCGGTTCCTTCAGTTATTCGGCACTAATTTTGGCTAGCATAATTTCAAATTTCCAGGGTCGCCACACCAACCTGCTGGTACTGTTTGGTGGCGCTACTTGCTGCATAAGGCATTCCAATTTCTTTTTCTCCATTTATTGTTTTAACCTGCTTACTTTTAGCCCTAGCCATGGTTCCAATGAATAAAAGAAATGCTTCTCATTATGTAAAGCACCTACACAGTACATTATCCACTGTCAGTTGTCATGAGCTCAGTCTCATGAAACAGGAGAATATGCTGTATTATTACGCTAATATCAACACTTCAGCTTATTTCCCTATCACAGTTGATCTAATATGACATAATAAACAATATAAATAACATAAAGCACGTTAAATACTCCAGAATAAATAATATTTGGCATAACACTGAGCAGTTCGACGAAGGTATGAAGAGGATATGGTATACAAATACATCTCCTATCCCTGTCTTGGTTGCTTAGATTAGAGAAAACGGAGTGTAGCACAGGGCTAACTGTGATGTACACTCGTACTGCACCATAAACCTGAAACAAAAAAGTTATTTTCTCTATATAGATTATCTCACATAGCAGCATATGTGTAGAGAACCTAGGATAACCCAAAAAAGTCAACATGGCTTATTTTTAGCACCTGGCTTGGGGTAGCCATATATGATTTTTGGTAAATATTCGATTCCCAGCCAGGGTAGAAACATTAGGCGTGTTTCTTTACACCTGTTGTCTATGTTTACCCATCAGTAAATGGGTACCTGGGTGTTAGTCGACTAGTGTGGGTGTTATCCTGGGACACTGACCTAATTTGCTTGAAATACTCTGCATAACAAGCGGCTTTCTATATAACAGTATGTCACTGATGTCAGCTAGGCCTGTATACCTTGTACATGTACGTGTAGTAAATAAAGATATTATTATTATTATTATTATATTATTAGTATTTTCTCAGTTGTTTGTTGGGTTATCTTATTCAAAGTTGGGCAATGTATGATGGAAAGATACTTCTTAACATACACCAAAAATGATAGGAATCAGACCATAAATAGTGGAGTTCACTTCTCAGCCATTAGCGGCCGCTTAGCGGTATATTTTTGTATGTTTTTATGGTTATATTCTCATTTTTTCGGCCTCATTTGATAGAATGAAATATATATTACAGAAATGATATGATTTTGATTGCTTTCATGACGAAAAGTACCTTGAAATTGCGCTCACAGTAGCGGAAATGTTCTGTTCTTTAGCGAAGCTCAAGAGTAAACAAATGACGTCACCGTCCAATACCTGTCCGCCTGCCAGTCTAAATTCCAATACGTAGTCTGGGTTGACATTATTTATACAATTATTACAATAATGCAGTGTCTGCATAACAGTAAATCTTCTATTTTTTGTTTGAATAAAAATTCCAAATGGTAAGCAAGAGTAATATAAGAGGGCCAGGAGCTGTGACTAATAGAACAGAGAAAATGTTTTTTAGTGCCAGGAATGTCTACATTGTTTTTTCTGCACCTATTTTGAAATTGCATTTGAAATTTGTGTGAAATCGGGCCAAATGCAATTTTGACCCCTTTATTGGGTAGTTGAAAAAAAGTGAATGGGCGGTTTTTTGTACTCAGTTGACGACTTGAAGAAATTTTATTTTAGGTATACACAAATAAAGTTACAAGATTATCCCCTTATTT